AACCTCACTCTCGCAGCATGGGAAGATGTGATGGGGCTGGACAGGGTATCGAGCAAAAAAAAGCAGGATTTAGGGCTAAGATTTGAGTCCATACTCTTCTTTGTGGGCGCATATTCTAGGCCTTGGAGCTGATCGTTTTATCTCAGCATGTGGTGGAGAATCTTCCCCCCTTTCATCCCTAATCACCCGCTTTACCAAACAGCATTTTCAGCTTCTCAGCAGTGGAGGCTTAGTCATTCCTCCAGAGACGAGCTCGTTCTAGTGTGTTCATCCATTATCCGTTCTCGAGCGCCTTGAGTTCGCCGTCCCCCCTTTTAGCGCTCCCACATTCGTCACACATTGTGGTGATGGGTGTGAAATCAGCGAAATGCTTTAGACTGGTGGATTCGCATCGCAGCCCCATATAAAGCAAACGCCGAGAGACGAGACTTCATCGTCTCTTGTGAATGAATGGCTTGACGATTGCAAAGGCGCCGGCCAGTGAGGGAAGGAGGGGGCACTCAAAAGTGAGTGGGAGAAGTGTGAAGCGATTAGACCATTAGCTATTGTCCCTAAGACTCTGTCAAGTGACCGCATCATGTCAAGTGTCGGTAAGGCGTTTTATGCCAATGGCTAAGTTCCTTGACATTGAGTACCCTCTTAGGCAACCTACGTGAGCGCTTGGCTCACTTGGAAGTCGATTTCATGCTGGGATAGAAATTGAAGTGTTATTGAGGCTAAAGGATCCCGCCAAAGGTTTATTATTTACTATTTTCAGTTATTTTGATGGACACAAGGTCCGCCACGACAGACCTCAAGTGGGATCAGTTGTCATTACGAGGAGACGCAGATGGCGTGAGTCAATTCAAAATTTTATTTTTTAGTGCTGAAATTTTGATCGATTAGTTTTCACTAGTTTGCAGTAAAGTGTAGTGCATAGCTAGACGGACAGCTCCCAAGGGTCACCCAGTGACGAACTATGATTATGTTCTCGCAGTCGAAATGAACTGGGAGAATGCTCGACGAAGCACTCGAAGTACTTCATTAGGCTTTTCCATTTCTTTCCGCTGCATTCGCAATTCTTGCAGCGCTTCTCTCATTTTGTCGGCGGTCATCGTACCCCCGGGTTTCCCCTCGTAACTCAATTAGTCAGTAATTGGACACAATATGGTCATTTGCAGTGCAGCTGCAAATTGGAAACTCCATTGGTATACTGACTGGGAATGACCTTAGAAGAGTTCCGCGCTTGGGAGGGGCATTTTGCATGCTAACCAACAGGTCTGTTTCCCTGAAACCTGTAAACTCTTGTAAAGCTGCGGAATGGTACAGGTGCGGCACGTTGGTCTAACATGTTTTGACAAGAAGGCCTCTACATGCTTTGCTGAGTGCCCTTTGGTGCCCCCACTAAGCCGAATAGCCTCAAATGTTGTTCCCGAGCGGGATATTTGCTTGGGTTAGCGCTGGTCCGGATCGGACGGCGGTTGAGAGTGAAGTATTTTGGTGTCTGATTACTCTTCCTCTCGTCGGTTTATCGCCACCAACAGCGGTCAAGATGGTCATTGACTGCCCACACATGCATAGTGGTTCAGATTTCACGCGCTTCTGCTCATCTCTGGCAAAACACACGCCAGCTGCATCCTGTGCGCTTATACGTAGGTGCTAATGGGGTCAATACTGACCGTTCCGGGTTATCTTGGCTAGGATTGTTCAAAATGGGTCTATATTTCAGGGGTCTTTCAGGCCGTGAGGCGTTTTTTCAGACCGGTTTTTCTTTTGCTTCTGTGGAGTACCGCATTAGCAATACTACGGAAAACCTGTCCAGGGCCTGGTCTTCTGAGAAGTGAGCTATCTGCTCTACCGAAGCTACCCCTGTGGCAGAGGAAGACGTCTTTCAGGTCATAAAACTCTTTTCCGGAACGTTTTTTGCTTCTTGTTGGGACAGAAGCAGGGGCCACAAAAGTGAAATTCTTTCTCGTACACGCTTCTGGAAAGCCAAAAAGAGTGCAGGTTTACATGGAGGGGTCCATTTAAACCACCTCATTGAACTCTATGTCACATGCAGCACGTCCCGCCCTCAAATTGAGAGACTTTCGTCATTTGTGCACTGAAAGCAATGCAAAATGGGTCAACGCGATAAACTATCCATGAGACCACGAGGGGTAATTCATCGATCGATCAGTGATCCTGTTTTGCATTGATTTCAATGCACAGATGACGGAAGTCCCCTAATTTGTAAGCAATCATGTGACATGGGGTCCAATAAGGAGGTTCAAATGACCCCTTCAATTATTTTTGCACTTTTTTGGCATTCCCCTAAGCGCGCAGGAGGAATGAACTTCACTTTCACGGCTTCAGTATGTAGCCCAAGACAACGCAAAACCATTCCGTAAAAGCGCTCTTTGACCTGGAAAACGCCACTTGCTATCCAGAAAAGGGGTAGCCCCTGAGTGGTTATTTTTATAGGAGGATAGGGCAGATAGCTTACTTTTAAAAAGACCAGGCCGTGGACCGGTTTTCCATGATATTGCTGAACGCGATCCACGTGGTGAATGCTGCAGTAATTTCGCGTAAACGTTTTAGGTAAGAGCGTACTGGTCATTTCAGCGGCGCCAGCGTGTCGTTTAGCCCAGGTGCTGGTTATATGTTGCCTTGTTCTTGCTCAACAGCCCCACTTTTTCCCAGTGGACATCACATTAAGCTACGCTTCAAATATCGCCTCAGATCTGAGGCAGATATCGGAATGTCGCTGCTTTGCCGAAAAACGCTGGCTTGATGTCAGTCATTTTCTCGAATGTGCATTGAATATATGCCAGCTCATCGTCGGTTTATATTGCTGGATGTTGGATGGGAATGTTGGGGCTGGGGGGGGATTTTCCAGTGGAATTGTGACGAATGGGCACGGCCAAGGTCAATGAGAAACATGAAATTTTTGAACACATCGTCGGTGTAAATAATGCGATCTGGTAAATTTGTCGCCGAAGTCTTTGTCAGTACTTCATTTGTGGGTTTTTGGTAGATGTCGTCGTCGACCCGTCAAATGATGCGTCTAACCTTGACGCACGCGTTTTATGAGGAACGAACGTTGCCGAGGCTGAGGACACCACCATGGGCGGAATGGCATAGCCCACTCACTTTGTGGGGTCAATCGACGCAAAGTTATTGGGTGAGAGGATCTTGGCTGGATCTTCCAGGTCTGGGTGTAGTTCGGGACGTCCGAGGGACGGCTTTGCCAGCAAGCCTGATTCTCTAACTAGTTGACTCGATATAGCATGTTGCCGTCAGATCGACTAGGTCATGACAACCGACGTCTTATACGGTTTATTTCGCGACCTTATCTCGAAAAAAATCAGATAATCCATAATTTGCTTCCTTCTTTCTCAAGTTTTGAGATCCATTAAATAAATTTGCTCCTCAAAACCTGAAATAGAAGAAGCAATTTATTGATTATCTGGTTTTTTTTGAGATAAGGTTGTAAAATAGACGGTATGGGACGTAGTTTGCCATGATCTTGTCGGATAGACA